CTTGAAATTGTGCGCAGCTTACTGGTGTCAGATCTCCGCCTTGTAAACGCCCCCTAATTAATATCATTACCATATAAAAGAGCACACGCCAATATCCAAATTTCTATGCTTGAGAATGAGAAGTACAAAGTGAAAAAAAAAAACTTTACTGAGTCTGAAATTGAGGTCCTGCTGGCGGAGGTAGAGGTTCGTGCAGGGACGCTTTTTATTTAATAATGTGTAATTATTCTGTGGACAAACTGTGTGTGTTATATTTTTTTCAGTTGACTATTATCAAAATTACTACTTCTAGAGTCAACAGAAATAATAATAATAGTAATTATAAAACAATTAGGTTTCCAAATGTAAGAATAAACTACGAATTCAAGTAAAATTCAGTCATCTTATAAAAAGTGAGCTATCCTACTTTTAAAATCACTTGCTATGACAACTAATGAAAAGTTTAATATAACGCAATTCTTGCAAAATTTAAAAAAACAGTACTGAAAGAAAAATTGGACGTTTCATATCATAATAAAATAAATTACATGATTATGGTCTCCGGTCTGACAAAAAAAAACCTGCAAGTGATTTGGCATTTCTTTATATTTGCAGGGTTTACTAATGCTACTTGAATGTGCCATAAATGTACTGACATAAAAATATATAGGCTAGTGTATTTTATACAAATATATCTGATGTAAATGACAAAAACAAAGTTTAAGGTTGATGTCTCTATTCATTTTCACAGAAGCAAAGCAGCAGGTGTTGTAAATAAAAACCGTTAACAATGTTACTGAATAGAATGTATTAAAACCGTTAGTGCACGACATATTCTTATAGGCTACACAGACAAAACAGGCGGAGATGCGTTTATGCATTTTTTTTTTCTATTTTACGCATTAGTAGTAGGCTAAATCAAGACTTCGCAAGTTCTCTTGTAAAATAAAATAATAATAAAAAAAACAAAACATGGAATAAACTGTGTACAGAAAGCGAGTAGAGAACTCTCAACATTAGGCTACTAAAAAGGTCAGTTTAATCTCGCAAAAACTCGCCGTTAACAAGAAATCTGACTACACTGCACAATTAATATCTTACTCTGCATCTTTGTTGTTTGATGAGTTCGGTGCTTGCACGTAGGTAGCCTACACAGCTTTTACTGTTATTGCAGTTTAGACGTTCAAATAACTGCAGTACTCCGATTTTGCCACAAGGAAAAGTGTGTACGCCGGTAAGTACTTTTCCACGTCAAAGACCGTTTTTATAAATATGAACGTTGCCGTGGATTAAAAAAAAAAAAGAAAACAAACCTTGCCGTGGATTTTATAGTACGCACACTCTAAGATCAAATCTGTGCGTACGCACATTTTATAAATGAGGCCCCTGGTCTTAATGTGAACAATTAATCATTGCTAATATTACAAATACAAATCTGTATCGTCTGATTTATCAAGATGTAATAACCTTTCCTTCTGTTTCCTATTACTTTTTCAAGTCTTCCCTTCCAACCATCTCATCCTGTGTATATATTTAACAACGAATTTTCATGATTAAATTTGTGATGGATAAAATAAAGTCCTTTGCTACATTTTTCTCATTTTATTTCTTAATATCTTTCTTCCGGCAGATTATGAAAGTAAAATGGAATACAAACATTTAACATTGCTTTCTGCAGCTTTCCACAAAGAAATTTATTATTGAAGAAAAAACATATTTCTAGATTGTGATCTAAATGAATTTGTATTTAAAGAATTGAACAATGTCACAGTGTTGGTAAACATGCTTATTAGAATATAACATGACTGTACAAATAAGAAGAAATCAAATATTTTACTGCTGAATTTTTAGACACATTTGAAAGGAGACCATCAAAATATTCCAGGGTGGGTTACCAGTCCAAAGAATCCAGATCAAACTGAAGTTGAAGAAAGTCTTTTTCATACCATGTCCACTAGTTTAAATGTATTCTCCTGTTTTATAGGAACGACATTGATAAAGGTCTTGTACAGAATAGCACCCTTGGGAAGTTTTGGGATCACATCCCTGGCTTCAGCACTTCGTGGCAGAGGAATGTACACCTCCTTGGTGAATCTGACAATACCATCCTCTAGGGCATAAAGTGTTTTGTTGGTTCCAATACCGACCTGTGAAGACAGACAATGAGAGATTGATTTCCAGTAAGGGGAATGTTGTCCGTTTAGTTTTTAAAAATTGGATGGAAATGAAGTGATAGGATTTTGAGAAATATTGGAAAATGCATTATGATGTAACATTAATGTGCAAAAAAACAAACAAAAAAAACAATTGAATGCAATAAAATTAAGATTTCTATGTTACTTATAAAAAGTGTGTGTGTGTGTATATACATATCAAATTTATTTCTGTGATGTAGTGCTGAATTTTCAGCAGCCATTGCTCCAGCCTTCAGTGTCACATGATTCTTCAGAAATCATTCTAATATGCTGATTTATTACCGGTGTTGAAACTGTTGTGCTGTTTAATATCTTTTTGCAACCTGTGATACTTTTTTCTTTAATTCTTTGATGAATAAAAAGTAAAAAAAAAAAGCATTTATTCAAAATGGAAATCTTTTCCAACAATATCAATATTTAAGTATATATTATACA